TTTGCCTTCAATTGAAGCGCACGTTATACCGTTACGTAGTGGTGCCATTTTTGCTGATCCACTTGCAGGACAGAGCACGTTCCTACGGTGTGGCCTTGGAGCCCCCCAGCAGGCACCCGCAAAAAAGTACGCACAGTAGGTCCCCTATCTCGTGACTTACCAATCGAAATTCTGAAATGGGTTTTCGATTCACAGATTATTTTGTTGGGATTGTAGTACTGATTATCATACAGCCTAACCTCGAGCTATCTCAGTTGCTTCAGGGTGTCCACCTTGTGAACGAACATCTTTCTGACCACCCGCAAGAAGTATTTTCTGTAAACAAAATGGCTACTTAAGTAGTGTGCATTTTTTCGTCGATGGGCGTTTAAATTCAAGTATCTTTTATCTCATGCGAACAAATATTCTTTATTGTACTCGTTTGGTAGAAAATTAAGCCTTCTTCCAATTTGGTACTTGAAGAAAGGGTAGTTTTTGGTTTTAAAAAGGTTTCTTAGTTGTCGAATACTTGTGAGCCCTAGCGGCTGTTGCATGTAAATTCAAGTGGATACGACGCATTATGAATAAAAATGTCGCGGTCGCAAAAATTAGTGGAATTTAAAACCTTTCTTTTAAATCGAGAGGTATCCCTTACTTCAAGCGAACTTCTATGGAATATATTTGAGTTCAAACTGGCATCGAAAGTAAAGGAAAAAATGCAAACTACTTAATTAGATATTGTATATCATTTTTGCAGGCGGAAGGATGGAAGTTCGTTAACAGGCCGACATCCTGACGTGAATTAAATATTTCGGGAATATGCTACACTAAAACCATACTTAAGTACTTTGTTCAAATGAAAAAAACTCATTTCAGTTTTTCTGTTGACGTTTCATGAGATAGGGAATCTACTGTGCTGAAGAAAAAGGCATGTCAATCACCGGAATTATGCTTCCACTTGTCTGAGCTTTCGAACTCTTACTAGAGTATATCTTCAGAGGTAACAGTGGCAACGAAAAACAAGAAAAAGTTAAAGAGGACAGGGACTAATCAACCACCAGTGACGTTAGTGCGAAGGTGATTGCGCAGGCCTCTATATGCGGGGGCCAGATCAATAAATCGATTGACTGAGTTCTCATCTGAGGTTCAGGCCTCAATCAGTTCTCGGCCTGTCTTGTTACCAGCGTGGAAAATTATCTTTGTGGCTGCGAATTCATGACCCGTTCGAAAGCTCAGCCGAATAGACCATAATGCCGTTGGTCGGCATTGGAGTTGGTTGGAATGCGAATATTCACTTAAATTAGTTATCTAATGTAATTTCTGGTCGAGTAGCCTTCTGGGCCTTGGAGTAATGTATGCTTTTCTCATGACAACTGAGCAAGCCGTAGCCTTTCCGCCCTCTCGTCTGTGCGGGTATTTTGCCTTCCTTCTTTCTTTATTACCTACCGCCACACGAATTCCTTTGAGGTATCTAACTTGGTGCAACCGGACTGGATAACGCGTTGATAACAGCCACCTGGACGTGCGAACCTTTCAGTTGACCGATAGCGCGTTTGATCCGGACTCGAGGTTCTGCGGCTCTGTGTCGAGTCTTCAGGGCCGACGGAAATGGCGAATTTCAGTCCCCTCGCGATTCTTTTTTGTGTTAACTTGATTTCCCCACTTGCGCGAGACTGAAGGAAGGCCGGATCACAGGGTGTGTCACGTACTTCAATTTGCGTAGTTATTTTTCTAAGCAGAGTTGTTTCTCTCTGTGTGTATTAGAGGGCTCATCAGCAATCCTGCTGCTGCTGCTAGGTGGTCCTGCCACGCCCACCACGAAGCCTGTTTTAGCAGGCATTCGGGGGCAGCAGTTCTT